AAACTGCCCGAAACACTCACGTACAATGAAACTTGAGAAACGCACAACCTGGCTTAATAGTTTCCAGAGCACGGGTCAACATGCAACTGCAAACGTAATTTGGATTTATAGTATCCTGTGATGCAATCACATTTACAAGACATGTGGGCGAGAGGTAAAAGAGCAGTGCAACTGGCAGCTAATACGCTCCAGCATCGCCACAAGGAGGTTAACAAGCCATGGATTACACAAGCCACACTTGACCTTATAAATCGTCGCAGCGAGGCACGGGCAATGAATAACAAAGTGGAAGAGAAACGATTGTTGAAGGAAGTGCGTAAGTCATGCAAGCAAGATAAGACAATATGGATCGATAAAGAGATCTCAAATGGTAGTTGGGACGCTCTCAAAAGACATTGCCGGCCCAAGCCGCACCGCCAAGGAAGGCTAAGAAATATGAGTGGGGATTTGGTGGACAATACGCTAAGAGCTGAAACTATGGCAGAATACTTGGAGAAAGTGCAATGGAAGATACGGCCTGCGGAGCTGCTTGACGACGATCCAACAGCTGACCCACTGCCAGTTTTGGAAACAGATTTTACGACGGACGAAGTGGGCAAAACAATACGTAGGCTGAAGCGGGGAAAAGCCTCTGGAATGGATGATATACCAGCAGAGTATTGGAAAGCAATCGCTACGGACCCTGGTGGGCTTGAGTGGATAACCGGTCTATGCAACAAATGCTGGAACGAGGAGGCGGTTCCTGAAGATTGGAAGGAATCTGTAATTTCTACGATTTACAAAAACAAAGGCGCCGTCGACAACTGCGACAACTACCGTCCCATTCGCCTGCTTTGCGTTGCGTACAAGGTTATTGCAAGTCTTATATTACGGCGATTGCAAGATGCTGGAGCAGAAGACCGACTATCCACCACGCAATTTGGTTTCAGAAGGGGGCGTGGGACATCAGATGCTATACGCGCTGTTCGCCGATACATTGAATTAGCGTACGCTGACAAAAATGGGGGCACAGCTTTTGTGGCACTGGACTGGAAGAAAGCCTTCGATTCACTTAACGTTGGGGCTCTGCTGGAAGGTTTACGAAAATTTGGGGTGCCTCCGCGTGTTCTGAACATCGTAGGGAACATCTACAGGGGCAGGCGATTTTGCGTTGCAGATGGGCGCCATAAATCTTCAGAAAAACGACAATTATCCGGTATATCACAAGGGTGCCCCCTTTCACCTTTCCTGTTCATCATGATCATGACGATGATTGTTCAAGATGCCGCGCGCCACGCAGAGGCTGGAGTACGACAAGCCCTAGAAGAAGAATCGCTGGCTATTTTGTTATATGCTGACGACACCTTGCTGGTGGGGCGCAATCAAATCCAATTGCAAGCACTATTGGAAGAAATTGCGAATGCCGGGGCAAGACTTGGTATGGAATTGCATTGGGATAAATTCCAGCTTATGCCGGTCCGCTGCGAGATCAACCTCCTGACGCCGTCTGGGACACCAATTATGGCTAAAGACTCTATGACATATTTGGGAGCTACGCTTTCGACCACTGGCCAGCTTCGCGGAGAATTGGGAAAGAGATTAGGTGCTGCTTGGGGCGAGTTTTGTCGACACAGCCGTGCCTGGAAGCACACAGCCATTAGCACAGCTAGGAAGATCCAAGTTTTTCAGGCCCTTGTGACCAGTAAGGTCATGTACTCATTGAATTCGGCATGGCTTAACAAAGCCGAGCGTAGAATGTTAGATGGCTTTCAAGCGAAGTGCTTGCGTCGCATATTGCACATACCCCACGCGCACATATCACGAATTTCTAATCAAGATGTGCTGTCGAGAGCCGGGCAGCAATCTTATACGACACAGCTTTTGAAGCATCAACTTTTATGGTTTGGAAAAATAGGTAGGGCACCAAACTCTGACTTTTTGCGCCGCCTCACTTTTCAACCTAGCTGTGTCCGACCAGCCACCGACGCATGCGCCAGAGCTGTAGGCAGGCCAAGACATGAATGGGCGAAGTGTCTACATGACGCTATCGTGCCGCATTTTTCCACTGAGGACGCTGTAATGCAATGCGTTAGCGAGCCAATCGCTTGGCACAAATTTGTATTTGATTTCGTCTCCCTCCCTCCGCCTGCCCTTCCTCCGCCTCCCTCTCCCTCTCTTCCTCGCCCCCCTCCCCGGCCAGAAGCAAACGATGTGAATTGATAATTGTGTTGGCACGCCGCCGCTCCCGCAAAGCGGAGAGAACAGGCGCATTGTCTCGCCTTCTGCCCACGCGCTCCGGCGTATGGCTCGACTGTCGACTGTCGCTGTGATGCAATCACAGTGGAGCACGGTAGAAGAAGTCTGCAAACAACGATGCGAAGCTTGATTGGCCGACGTAGCCACGTACAGGTTTTAGTTTCAATATCCTTGTGCGTATTGAATCTTCTTTTGTCGTCGACGTTTGGTTCATCTGTGTTGGTTCCAACGGAAAACTGAAAACCCTGGCGAAAAAAATAAAATACGAAAATAAACAACTAAACGCATCTGTAATATTTCCCCGTGCAAACGGAATCCGATGACCCACGTACGGGGTGGTACCGGAACTTAAAAAAAAAACGATACAGCGAATTACGTCGATACCGAGACGTATTCATTGTACCAAAACTTCCAAACAATACCGCACGTTTGGATCCGTTTTGCCAAAACGCAAACCTTGCTGTAACCGTCCTTCTGAAAGACAACAGCCGTGATCTTACTTTGCTTGGCCTCGGGGAAGGGCGCGCCCCGACCCCAATCGGCGGATTGGTCCGAAGCTAGCTAGTCAGAGAGCAAGGTCAGGGCAAGTGCAGGGTGTTCGAGCTGCGAGGGACGAGGCCGGAATACGAGGCTGGTCCATTGTGGCCAGACGAAGATAATCTCCAGGCTCGGTGCCAGGTGTGCTGCCAGCCAGTTGCCTGAGCCTGAACCCCTTTTGGAGCTGGCGAATATGTGTTATCCACTTGCCTCGAGAGTTCGAGTCGCTCAGCACTTGTTTCACTCGATGCATTGGCTGGATCTCGCCCAAGGTTCGACGGCCTCGGATGGCAAGGTCACGTCCTGTATTAGAAAGGCGCAAGTGACTTCTGCGGTTCCTGTGGCCGTCTCGCTGATAACGCTCCGATGAAATTGTTGGAGGAGTGTGTGTTGGCTCGCATCCGAACAAAATCCGGAGACCAAGGCTCACTACACTGCCAACATGCGTGTCAGAGAGCGTCTTCCTCTCTGTGCTGGCAAGGAGTGGGGGGGCGACGCCAAAGTCCAGGACCGAGACGTAGTCGTAGTTTTGGTCCGCTGATGTCCGCTGAGGCGTGTCTGCATTTTGGCTCGTCGCTCTCACGTGGAATACGCGAATTGTGCACTGTACATGTTTTATAATGCGCTTAGTCTGGCAAAGGTCCGAGCAACGAATCATCCGTATTCATCTGTCAGACGAAATGGGTAGACACATGAAACATGAAGGCCATGACAGTAGGGTTCCCACCCGCCCACCTCCAGAGGAGGGACGAGGGAAGCTGTTCGGCCTCTAAACACAGAAGAAACGCGCCTCCTCCTCTTATCCCTCACCCCTGCTCCTCATCCACCCTTCCTGCTCGCTCCTCCCTCTTACTGTCCTATCCTGGGGGGGACAAGGGCACCGAAACTGCTGCTCACCCGACCCCTTCCCGAGGTGCGTTCGGACCACCATCCCGAGGAGGATCCAGCCGTGGCGACGAGGGTTCTCCTTCTCCTTTTCCCGCCTTGCTCGGGCGAGTCCAATGTGTCAGGGTGTCCTTGGGATGACGCTGCAGCAGGAGAAGATGTGGATGAGAATCTTGAGGGGCTTCTACCCGAGGCGCAGGTCGACGATCTGGGTGGACCCAGACGGAGTCAAGGATCTCGAGGAAGACGGATTTCAACCTCTGTTTCAGAACTTTGGTCATCATCACTGCAGTCCAATCTTGCTGGTGGCACTTGATGTTGAAAAAACTTGGCCTGGGCGAGCCTTTTCGTCACGAGGGCAACGTCACAGTGGTGGGTGGGTCGCCAACGCCACGACAGCCCCCCGCAAGACCGAGCGGCTTCGGATGAGGACGATGCGCGGCTTCAAGACGGTCCCACGCGGCCCTGCGACCGAGTTTCGAAGCGACTCATGTGATGCCTTCGTGACAGCTATGAAGCGCGATTAAGCCCGACTAGCAACAACGGGAGAAGTACGCACATGCACTGACAATGGAATGGCCCATCGTGAACCCAAGATCGGTGTATATGCCCTCCTAATCGGCCAGGGAGGCAAATGCACCTATACTGGGTCCAAGATGAGCTCGGCCAGCATCGGTACGTGTGCATACTTCTCGTCGCCCGAAATTTCGGGAGCGGCCAAGAGGGGGGTGTCCAAGAGGGGGGGGGTGAAAATCATGACCGGCGGCATGTGCGCGGCCCAGCGGGGGGGCCAGGGACGTAATGAAATGAGAAGAGGCGCCATGAAATCTGGGGACTTATTATGGCCCGCGCCATGATATCCACCCCCTCCTAGTCATCACCCCTCTTTTTTCCGCTCCCGAAGATTACCAATCCAGGGTTAATGAGCTCAAGATCGGATTGTGAACCTTCTCTGGCCAATACCAGAGAAACCCAGGCAGGAGCCCAGAACTCAGCCCGACTAGGCTGGACCAACTGGGACCAGACTGGATCATGCCGCACTGGGCCGGCTTTCGACAACGGATGCACCAGCGCCAACACTGAATCGAACCTCCCAAGAATATCCTAAGGCAGAAGGCCCGAAACCCTTGACAACTCTGTGCCCGCAATTCGCTCAGGTCGCCCAACTTGGCGCATCGCGCCCCGCGATGCGCGGCTATCCTCGCGCCCTTGTGCCGCCGTCCTGGAGAGAGGCCTCTCCAGCCCAAACCGCGATGCGCGAAGCGTGATCATGTTTGCGCCCGTCGGGGGGGCCAAATTTCACTGTGCTGGTAGCGGAATTCCTGTTGCCCCGCAGGCGTCGTTCTCTTTCTTATGCGCGAGCCACGCAATCGCGGCAAGGGGTCTGTCGTTGGCGCGCCTGCTTGTGCGCGACGCCGCCAGCGGGATTCCAAGGCGGTGACTCGAGCAGCGATTCTGGTTCTAGCAACCACTACTGCTTGTGGCGAGTCAATCAAAGGAAAATCCGCCACCGTGACGCGAACACTGAATGGAATATCCTCAGGTCCCCATGGGTCCTCAATAGTCGGGGGCGTCCAGGGAGGGGGGGGCGCAAATCATGGTTGGCGGCACGTTTGCGGCCCAAGGGGGGAGGGGGCTAGGGGGGTGCAGGGCCATTTTTAATACATGGGATTTTTTAACATCGGATTTTTAATGCATGACTAGTTTATGAATGAATTGATGCATGAACTCATCGTTGTTGTTAATACAAAATCCATGCATTTTTAATACATGATCCGTACGCGGAGCATGTATTAAAAATGGCACTGTATTGAGAAAAGAAGAGGCGTCACGAGATCTGGGGAGCCATCGTGGCCCCCGCCATATACTCCCCCCCAGGCATCACCCCCCTCTGATCCGCCCCCGAAATATTCATCGCTCGGCCTATCCCCATCCCCACCAGGACAGCCTCGGTCCCGCTGTCCGACCTGCCCCCGAGGTGGGGGCAGATGCTGCCTCGGTCGGGCTTCGCGGCAGCCATGCCCACCTCAAGGTGCGAGGCTGGTAACACTGAGGATCCGTTGGCCTGCGCAGTTCGGTTTGACAGTGGAATATTGGACGTTCGACGCTCGCTGCTGACTGCGGTGTGTCTGCTGTGGGCCCCATGCCTCCAGCTCATGGGCTTCTGAGACGTTCTCGCGCATTCTCGGGATGCCCTGCGTGAATTCTCCAGGGACCTTGGGGCGTCCCAACCTTTTTGGATGACACCTCCTTGGGGAGTCGTCGAACTCCAGGATCTCCCACACCAGCAACATCTAACCCCCATGAAGACCCCGAGACGACTGGATAGCGCTTCAAGACGACCCAAAGTAACTCCAACACTGCTCCAGCAGGGCCCCCCCCCACACGGCCCCAAAATGAACTCGCCAAATCGCGCCCGAGACGGCTTACCTGCTCTCGGCGTCCTGCTCCCTCCGGCCAACTCCCTCCATCATCATCATCATCATCATCATCATCATCATCATCATCATCATCATCATCATCATCATCATCATCATCATCATCACCATCATCACCATCATCATCATCATCATCATCATCATCATCATCATCATCATCATCATCATCATCATCATCATCATCATCATCATCATACCATCATCATACCATCATCATACCATCACCATCACCATCACCATCACCATCACCATCACCATCACCATCACTATCACTATCACCATCACTATCATCATCACCATGATCATGATCATGATCATCATCATCAGAGGGGTAGCAATATGGGTACCTCTTCCCCCTCTGAAGAAAAAGAGGCGGACAGGGCAAGCAACGCCGGCCGGCGAGGCCAGGCACACCGCGCTCCCGCCACAGAAAACAAACGCCGGCCTCGCGGCAAGGGCGCGGAGCCTGCCGTGCCACGGCGCTGGCCTGACTACCTACCAGACCACCCCAACCCAACCTGAAGACCCTGACCCGAATTTCGGGTTGGTGTGGGTTCGGGTTCCATATGTTTTTTCAATGTTCCCCGATCACCCCCCCACTGGAAATGGAAGGCAGATTGAGGCCTTCGGGATGGGTTGGGGTGGTTTGGTGGGTGGTGATGGCCCGCGCGGCAGCGACCGCGGGCAGCCCTCCCGCGGCGTCCGCGCTGCCCTCACAGCTCCTGGGAGCGGCGCCGCGCGCGCCGAAACGTGTCGGCAATCAGCGCGGCGTCGGCGCGCGGGGGCGCGCGCCTAGCGCCGTCTCGGGGCTTGCTCGAGCGTTCTCCCGCCTTCCTGTGCCCTGTCTCCCTAATTACAGCTGTGCATAGCCCGCCTAGCTTTTAGCGGAAGAGGTTCGCTCTCGCCCCGCAGATCGAACAATTGCTCGAGCGTTCTCGTCGGCTCCTGGAGGTTTTCCAGCCGCCTGTCGAACCTCCAACGTATGGAGCGAGCAACGTCCAGACGGAAGTTCTTGGCATGGCCCTCGCCAGGGCCCCGCGGCTGACGGTAAAACATGCTCGGTACGAACAGCCCGTCCCTAGAAGGGGTCGGGACTTCTGGGGAACCCATCTTGAACAAATCACGACATCTGATCTCTGAGTTTCTCGAGCGTTCTCGTTGATTCTTGGAGGATGTCCAGCCTCTCCAGCAGCTGCGCCTCGCCGACGGCGCCCCCAGGGGTGCCTGGATCGTCCAGATCGGTCGACCGAGGCCCGAGTTAGGGCCCGACCGACCTCCAGTCGTCGTGGGAGATCTACCACGGAATGCTTCTGCCCATTCTCTGCCTTTTGGGGCTTTTAGTGGGCTCAGTGACAATCAAAACGGCTCGGGACGAGAAACCGACCACAAGGGAAAGGTCCAGCCCTCCCAGGGTCAACGCAGTGCGAAACTCACGGCGTTGGAGCTACGGGGGCGAGCAGATGAAATCGGAAGGCCCCGCGCGCGCGGGGGGAACCCCGTCGCGAGGCGCTGGGTCCGTGCGCCGACGTGACCGTCGAGGTGAAGGCTCCCGAGTGGAGAGGGGGGCGCGATGGCGCGGTGCGCCGCGCGCTGCGCCGTTGCACGAGCGACCGCCCGAAACCTGCCGACGCCCTGGATCGCCCAAGGTCGGTGGCGGCTGCGGGGTCGTCTCCCCTGGATGAGCGCCAGCAAAACTAGCCAGAAGAGCGGGGGGCAAATCTGGCATCCAATGCTCATCTGGAGGTGACCCAGCGGGGGCAAGGACTGAAGTCTGAGTGCAATGGTGCTTCTCCCCGTCTGTCACGGCTGGAACTGGTGATGCCCCACCTGAGCCCCCAGTCGGCTCCAAGCCCAACGCACCGATGCGCATCCTTCAAACACCTACGGCTAATCAATGATTTTGGCCTCTTCGGGCCTTCCTGGAGGCCCTCTTGGAAACCTCTTGGGCCGTCTTGGGCCATCTTAGGGCCATCTTCGGCCGTCTTGGTGGGCTCCTGGCCCGTCTGGCGCCGTCGGACGCCGTCTGGGGGGCATCTCTGGGCCGTCTTGGAGGCCGCTTGGGCTGTCGGAAGGCTGAAACAGAGCAGGTGCGAACATGCTTCAACACCCGATGGAAAATCTATTATTTCATCCTGGAGGAACTCTCGGAGGCTTCTTGGGCCGTCTGGGAGGCCTTCTGGTCACCTCGTGGGCAGTCGTGGGCCGTCTTGGAGGCTTCTTGGGCGGACTTGGAAATATCTTGGACCCTCTTGGAGGCCGTCTTGGCCATCTTTTTTTTTTCAGCGTCATCCCGTGCAGGGCATGTGTGCGGCTCGCAGGCGCTTAAACTATATTAAATGCGCGTTGCATGCTGGCGGGCATGGCATTGGTCGAATGAAGAAGATGGAGAGGATCAGGAGGGAGCGGAGCGGAAACGGGGGGTAAGGACAATAACGAGGGGCAAAGGATGAGGAGCAGCAGGCAATGAGTCAAACAATGAACCAGCCAGCCCAAAAGTCCTCGCGTGGGCCTCACGCGGGCTGCAACAGCGCAGCTGCGCAACAGCAAGTTCGCGGCTCGCGGCGCTTTCAAAGTCAAAATTAAAACCCAGAACTGGTTCGAAGCTTCGAGCCTCGAAAAGGACTCGCTGGATCCTCCCCCCTCCCTGTCGCCCTCCCCACAGATCTCAAGCAAAATTGGAAGGCAACATGGGAAGCGGCCGTTGGAACGCAGAAGACACTGGGCAGCAGGAGCGGACTCTCCAGTCAGAACAGAACTCAGTCCAGCTCGAACTATAATCCCATGGTCAAGTACTAGATGGCCGCCCCATACGCAGGGGTCATGACCCCCCCCAAGCTCTGCCACATAATTATCTCTGCGCCCCAGCCTCACGCACAGGCGGTCGAAAGAATAACAGCGATGATGGCTGCGGTCATGGTCGGCTCTCCAACGCCTGAGGCACTCTCGATGTCCGGCGCCGGCGTCGGCGAGGGGGTCGACGGGGTGCACTCAAGCCACTTGCGCGTCTCGCCGGCCACGGTGGAGTCCAAGGCCTGGTTGCAGTTAGAGCCGCCCTGCACGTAGCACCAAGTCTGGTTCCAGTCGGCCGTGGCGCTGCAGCCCTCGTACGACTCCATAACCCCGTCGCCATCGCCATCGTAGTTCCACTCCGTCATGCAGTTGCAGGAGCCGCACTCGCGCCACTTGCGCGTCTCGCCGGCCACGGTGGAGTCCAGGGCCTGGTCACACTTGGAACCGCCCTGTACGTAGCACCAGCTCTGGTTCCAGTCTGCTGTGGCGCTGCAGCCCTCGTACGACTCCATAACCCCGTCGGCATCGCCATCGTAGTTCCACTCCGTCATGCAGTTGCAGGAGCCGCGCTCGCGCCACTTGCGCGTCTCGCCAGCCACGGTGGAGTTCAGGTACTGGTTGCAATTGGAACCGCCCTGCACGTAGCACCAGCTCTGGTCCCAGTCCGCCGTGGCGCTGCAGCCCTCGTAGGACTCCATAACCCCGTCGCCATCGCCATCGTAGTTCCACTCCGTCATGCAATTGCAGGAGCCGCACTCGCGCCACTTGCGCGTCTCGCCGGCCGTGGCGCTGCAGCCCTCGTACGCCTCCATGCCCCCGTCGGCATCGCCATCGTAGTTCCACTCCGTCATGCAGTTGCAGGAGCCGCACTCGCGCCACTTGCGCGCCTCGCCAGCCACGGTGGAGTCCTGGGCCTGGTTGCAAGTGGAGCCGCCCTGCACGTAGCACCAGCTCTGGTTCCAGTCCGCCGTGGCGCTGCAGCCCTCGTACGCCTCCATAACCCCGTCGGCATCGCCATCGTAGTTCCACTCCGTCATGCAGTTGCAGGAGCCGCGCTCGCGCCACTTGCGTGTCTCGCCAGCCACGGTGGAGTTCAGGTACTGGTTGCAATTGGAGCCGCCCTGCACGTAGCACCAGCTCTGGTCCCAGTCCGCTGTGGCGCTGCAGCCCTCGTACGCCTCCATAACCCCGTCGCCATCGCCATCGTAGTTCCACTCCGTCATGCAGTTGCAGGAGCCGCACTCGCGCCACTTGCGCGTCTCGCCGGCCACGGTGGAGTCCAGGGCCTGGTCACAATTGGAACCGCCCTGTACGTAGCACCAGCTCTGGTCCCAGTCTGCTGTGGCGCTGCAGCCCTCGTGCGACTCCATAACCCCGTCGCCATCGCCATCGTAGTTCCACTCCGTCATGCAGTTGCAGGAGCCGCACTCGCGCCACTTGCGCGTCTCGCCAGCCACGGTGGAGTTCAAGTACTGGAACCGCCCTGCACGTAGCACCAGCTCTGGTCCCAGTCGGCCGTGGCGCTGCAGCCCTGGTACGCCTCCATAACCCCGTCGGCATCGCCATCGTAGTTCCACTCCGTCATGCAGTTGCAGGAGCCGCACTCGCGCCACTTGCGTGTCTCGCCAGCCACGGTGGAGTCCAGGGCCTGGTTGCAATTGGAGCCGCCCTGCACGTAGCACCAGCTCTGGTCCCAATCCGCCGTGGCGCTGCAGCCCTCGTACGCCTCCATAACCCCGTCGGCATCGCCATCGTAGTTCCACTCCGTCATGCAGTTGCAGGAGCCGCACTCGCGCCACTTGCGTGTCTCGCCAGCCACGGTGGAGTCCAGGGCCTGGTTGCAATTGGAACCGCCCTGCACGTAGCACCAGCTCTGGTCCCAGTCGGCCGTGGCGCTGCAGCCCTCGTACGACTCCATAACCCCGTCGGCATCGCCATCGTAGTTCCACTCCGTCATGCAGTTGCAGGAGCCGCGCTCGCGCCACTTGCGTGTCTCGCCAGCCACGGTGGAGTCCTGTGCCTGGTTGCAATTGGAGCCGCCCTGCACGTAGCACCAGCTCTGGTCCCAATCCGCCGTGGCGCTGCAGCCCTCGTACGCCTCCATAACCCCGTCGGCATCGCCATGGTAGTTCCACTCCGTCATGCAGTTGCAGGAGCCGCGCTCGCGCCACTTGCGTGTCTCGCCAGCCACGGTGGAGTTCAGGGCTTGGTTGCAATTGGGACCGCCCTGTACGTAGCACCAGCTCTGGTTCCAGTCCGCTGTGGCGCTGCAGCCCTCGTACGACTCCATAACCCCGTCGCCATCGCCATCGTAGTTCCACTCCGTCATGCAGTTGCAGGAGCCGCGCTCGCGCCACTTGCGCGTCTCGCCAGCCACGGTGGAGTTCAGGGCTTGGTTGCACTTGGAACCGCCCTGTACGTAGCACCAGCTCTGGTTCCAGTCCGCTGTGGCGCTGCAGCCCTCGTACGACTCCATAACCCCGTCACCATCGCCATCGTAGGTCCACTCCGTCATGCAGTCGCAGTCGCCGTTTTCGCCGATCACGCAACTGACCAAGGCCGCGCAAAGGACGGCTGCGAACTCCATGACGATTGATTTGGCCATCGGTAGCCGCGCGCCTCTGGGGATTGCAAATTGGATCGTGAGGCCAGCGTCGCAATTTTCTCGACTGAACCAAATTTGCTTGAGCCAAATTGGTTACGGAAGGCCGTCTTGGCCATCTTGGAAGCATATTGGAGGCTAATAACTTGGGCTATCTTGGAGCCGTCTGGAGCAAGAACAAAACCTTGGCAACCGGGTCTTCCGGGTCTTTCCTGGTGGCCAGCGGGACGGGCCAGAACCCCAGGGGAGAGCCTCTCGGAAGCCTCTTGGAAGCCTCTCGGAAAAACCAGGCCTCTCGGAAGCCTCTTGGAGGCGATTTTGGTAGTGTCTTGAAGCCTCTTGGATGCCTCCAGGGGGCTGACTTGGGCCTCTTGGGGGCCTCCTGGGACTTCTGGGGGCCTGCTGGCGGTATTGGGGGTCATCTTGGGGCGGAGGACGCGAAATTTCAGTTATTCTCCCTCTCGGGGCCGTCTGGGCGGCTTCTTGAACCGAATTGGGCCCTCTAGGGCCGTCTGGGGGCCCTCTTGTGGGCCTCCCGGCCCGTCTTGGGGTGATCTTGAAGACCTCTTGGGCCGTCTTGGATCGTCGGAAACCCGAAAAGGCGGGACCGCTTACAAGCACACACAAACACACACATAAGCACACAGCAGCACACACACAAATACACAAACATCCACACACAAACACACAAGCAAACACACAAACGCGCACACAAACAGACAAACACACAAACACACACGAACACACCCAAGCACAGCACACAACCACACACAACACACACAACACAGACATACGCATTCACATACACACATGCAAGCACACACAAGTACACCCAACCACACCCAAGCACACACAATCACAAACGATCATACACAAGCACGCACAACCTTACAAACACACAAACACACAAAGTCGCGATTGAACATGCACGGGAGGCGATCATACTAAGTGCATACTGCCTTGAGGATCGGCAGAGCTGTGTTGATAGCGGCTCCCTGAAGGGGAAACCCAACCAATCAGAACCTGCAAAACACTCAGGCCACTGACAAGAGCACTTGAGGCTTGGGGTGCACATGCTACGGCCAATGCAAACACACCACACGCACAGCCACACAGGCACACTTATACACCATTTCCTAACAAGCACGAGCGCACACGCCCACAAATGCAAACGCACACAAATGCACGCAAACACGTACACACGAACGCACATACAGGACAGCCAGGTCCTCTAGAGACTAAACAGAGCAGAAGCGGTGGCGGAATGGACGGCGGGTGGCAGAACTTGTCAAGCAGGGATCATGATAGGAACGGGTTGAGCAGGGACCGACCGTCCCGACATTCCTATAGGCCTACAACGAATTATTATTTGAACAGAATAAGCCCGATGTGCTAAAACAAATAAGTCCCAGCCAGAAATGTTCTGACCATATTTCGCGCAGACCACAAAAGGTTCTTAGAACACTCATTGGTTGCCCTATAAGCGAGCCAAGACGCTTCGCCACTGCTTGAATGGGGGGAACCTGACCACGCGTCAGAAGAATGACAGGCCGGCCCGCCGCCGGAGAAAGGCCACGGGGGCTGGCTGGCCTGGCCCTTCGTGGCGGCCTTGACAGCACCCTTCGCCTGGCCACGCTCGGCAATGCACGCGTTTCAAACACATCCGAACGCTGACATCCGTGCACTTCACGTCACGAGCAACATCACGAATAATGGATGGCGCAATTGACCAACTGCGATCAAACACCGCACCCTGGCAGACCGCACGGTGACCTCGGAATCCCCAAAGACCTCACCGCACGGCCAAAATTGCTCGAGACATCCTCGGAGAACGACCTGGGTCCCAAAACCGCGTGGTGACCCCGACTCCCCACTGACTCATCACTCACCACGCGGTGTGGTCAACGCACCGTTTAGGAGCCCCCGACTAGTGCCTCCGTGGGCGCGTCCCCATGCGGACCAGAGCCAGCGTCGAAGCTCGGGGGCCGTGGCCCCATATCTCGCCATCGCTCGGACGTCCATTTCCCGTGCATTTTTCGGTTTCGTGCGTGTTTCTTTTGCTCGATGGTCCAGGATCGTCCTCAATGGTTCTCGCCGAGAAAAAATGCACACGTCCGAGCGATGCCAGGACATCGGCCGCAATGGGAGCATTCGCGCGCGGGGCGTCGCACGAGGACCGTGGCCCCCAACAGGAGCTGCATCTGCAGCCTCCGTGGGCAAGCTCGCAGGTGGGGGTGCCGCCCCTTGCGGCGCACCCCTCACGAGCATCGTGGCCCTCCAGGGAGCTTCAGCTGCGGCCCCCAGCGGGCCAGCTGGTCTGCGGGGCGGCGCCCGTTTCGGTGCACCCTTGACGAGGGTCGTGGCCCCATAGGGGGCTCCATCTATGGCCTCAGCGGGCGCGTTCCCATGCCCGGCGGCGCCTCTTTCAGCACACCGCTCACGATGTCTCGCCGTCTGGCGTCGGGCACCCCCGGAGCCTCCCATCCGCACCGCTCTGGGTTCCCTTCCTCTTGCGGCGCGTTAGCTGTGATGAGAGGGTTATACCCTGCGTGGCTCCGGATAGTATTGGGACCTTTGCCTGCTTGTTCGCGGGAGGTCGTTCTTTGATGGCCCTGAGGCCCAGAAACGGCGCCCATGCACCAGATGCATAGAATACTGCTCGTCTAACTTGTTCGAGGAGCGCAGATTGATGGGTCTGGCTGCGATGTGAACCCTCCCCTCGGCAAGAGTTATCGCCCTCTCCAACTCCAAGTCGTTACCCCTCTGCAGTGGTGCCGCGGTGGTCGCCTTGATAACCGTCGGCGTCTCCCGAGCGCGCCACCTGTGATTACGTAGTTGAGGAAGACGGGGATGATGAGGAAAGGACGAGATGGAAGGGGACGGTAAGGGAGAGGAGGAACAACACATGGAAAGGGTGGAAGAGAAAGGAGGCGGAAGACGAGGGGCAGAGTGTGCGGCATTTTGGAAACTGGCGCCGCCACCCCAGAAACAAAACAGTCGAGCTGCTATTATTGGAAATACTACAAACATAGTGAACGAAGCCCTTCTTCGACACCAAAAGCGCATGGGCGCACGAGATACTAAATGAACAGCGAGCAGAACACTGTTCATTGCTTGAACGTCTTGACTGTGTACGACCTCGGAAAGGAAACGAGAGCGGAAAAACAAAAAGATACTTCAGAGGATTGTTTGCTTCCCGGTGTGTAAAAGCAGAAACTCCGTTAAACATAATCAATACAAGTTACTCTTTCAACCGGATCGCGCCCAACGTACATTACAACCACTCTGGCTCGTGCAATCACACTGCTACCATAACGAACGCTGAACAAATAACCAAACCCTTCTTTGGCTCCAAACCGCCCGGGTGCACGAAGAACGCTAAGAGGAACAACCGTGAACATGGCCTGAGGAACAGCGAGCCTCTTCCAAGCCCCAACTGGCCCTAATTCCATCGTCTTGGCGGTAAGTCTTCTACAATCTACGACCTCAGGCATCAACCTTCCAGGCTGACATACAAATCACCTACCGCTCGGAACACATGAGTAGACACATGAGGCAGGAAGGTGTTGAAGTATAGGAAACAATTGAAGCATGGGAGGGCGCCTAGAAGCATATTGGAATTTGGCGACCTCGAACACACATACTTTCGACGACCGATGTGCAAATCATCTGAACTTCACCGCGCCGATGGCGACAAACGGCCATGCCCCTGCCCGTCGGAGGCTCCGTGCAGATTCAGTCGGCTCTCTGAATGACAATTTAAGTGGACGCCTTAGCAAAATGATAGCCCAAGACACCTGCCCGCAAGCCGGTGAACATGTCAGAAAGACCAACGACCACGTCTAACTCATCAAACCAATTCTGAGCTTTGATGTGCCTCAAAGGTGACCCAGACGATGAGGATAGTGCTCCTCGATTTAACCGCGATGCTGTGGAGAGGCGGAGGTAGCTTGACATGGCTCTGGTTTAGACTGCTCGACGCCTGTAGTGATGATGCTGCTGCTGCTGCTGCTGCTGCTGATGATGATGATGATGATGATGATGATGATGATGATGATGATGATGATGACGATGGTGATGATACTGGTGATGGTGATGGTGATGGTGATGATGATGCTGCTGCTGCTGATCATGATGGTCGGTGGGGAGATAAGGAAGAGCACCAGTGGGACTGCAGCAATGATATTTGGAAGATCAAGGAAACATATCTGATCGTCTTTCAACATCTTGATGGATGGCAATCCACGAGAGGATGAACGGATTCTAATCGATGTTGACATGGGTTGGCTTCCAGCCTCAGCCCCCTTGAAACACAGGTGGCACCGATCAATGGGGTCGACGGAAAAGGCCTTGGAGAGCGAACGAGGGCCCGAGACGAAGAAGAGACGAGACCGACCGCAACGCCAACCATGGCAGCGGAGGATGGGTATGGTGGCGGAAGCAGCACGGGGAGAGCCAGCGGCAAAGGCGGGCGGCGGGGAAGGTGGGGCAGCGAAGAGCATCGATCGACACGGAGGTCGGTGCGGCGGACGTCCGACCCCGCGGACCGATCACGTCGGGCAAACAACGCTCAACGGCGCGGCCGTGGTGACACCGTCTCGCCATCGCTCGGACGTCCATTCCCTATGTTTTTTGGTTTCGTGCGTGTTTTTTTCGCCAAATGATCAAGGATGCTCCCGTCCGAACGATGCCAAGCCGTAGAGGAGGATGCTGGAACATTCCGCACCAATTTGGACGCCTGAGATGGGTACAGAAAGGGCACGATGCCCGACAACAAGCGTTGCCCCAAACCGACAGCCTTTGCGCAGGCGGCCCTGTCTCGACTGGGCGGGACCCGCGGCGGCACCTACGACGAATCCTGCTCAACTGGACAAGAACTGCTGTCGATTTTCGTGCCATGTTTCTTACTCACTTCTGGGTATCATTTAACCGATCCCAATAATTGATACCCAGCGGCGTGACCTGGGCCCCAGTGGCCGATTTACCCCCCTAGATGGTGATATAGGTCGTTCCCTTCGGGTTTCGAGGGGTGTATCCCCAATTTGGGGGGGTAATTTGGTTGGGGTCTCGAAGGGGATGGGGATGGGGCTGGCGGCTGGGGATCGGTAAACCGACCACGGGCGATAATGATACCCGGGTGATGATAAAGTTCGGGGGTCTGGCGGGGATGATAATGGATTTTCCCGGGGAAGGTAAGTCATGATGATGATGATGGTGATGATGGTGCTGATGATGATGATGATGATGACGATGACAATGATCATGATGATGGTGATCCTGGGCGCTCGGCACAAGACTGACTCGAGAGATCTCGATGACCGCGGCTATACAACTTGCCAACGAGCGCTCGAAATCTCGAGGCTCGTGGCTATACAACTTGCCAGCAACCGCTCGGCACAATACTGACTCGAGAGACCTCGAAACTCGTGGGGATGGGGATTGGTTAAACGATACCGAACTTCGATCGTCCGGAATTGGGGCGAAGGAAAACGGCGGCAAAGGCAACGGGAGCGGGGCCGGCAGGACGAGCCCCGAGTCCCGATGCCCTGAGACCGGACGCAGTCTCTCGGGGGCGACGGTCGGGGGCGATTAGTCCAGGGGAGAGCAATGCTCGGCGGTGGACAACCTCCCTCTAGCAAACCACCCTTTATTGAAAACAATCCAGGACCGAAACTAGCGGACTTGGACCCGCAAAAATGACGGCCGCGACGCCCTCCCCCGAACCGAAGACGGCCAATTCCTTCATCGACGTGTCAGGGTCGGAGCGTCAATATTCCGGGAGGAGGAGGGGGGGAAAAGAGGAGGAGAAGGAATATTATTTTTTTCCACCGCAGGGCGCACGCCGATAATCCTTATCCATATCCATAGTCCGTGATCTGTGAGGGCCACGCAGCGGCAGGCCAAGCCCGCCAATGTCGAGGGCCGTGCAGGAGGGGGGAGCAGCAGCAGCAGAGGAGCAGCGAAAGAGGAGAGGGAGGACAGGGTACGTGAGGCCACCGCTCGGCGAGATGCCGCTCTTCGGCGACTCGCGGGAGGTACCGTGGTACCTCGCGCGCGGGGAGGGGCGGGGCAGCCCCGCCCGCTACCGATCCTCCCGTACGAGAGTCCTCGGCAGCGGGGGGGCGCACTCGGCGACGGGGGAGGACAGAGTCCATGCCCCGCAAGCCTCGGGCGCTTGCGACCCAGGCCACCGTCACCTTGACCCGCAACCCAGGCCCGAACACACACCTAGACAAAATTGAGAGGCGGGCGCCCTTCCTCCCAGAGAGGCGCAACGGGCACAGTTGAACAGGTCGTCGACGGGGCGGGCGGCGGGGGCGGCAGGGGGCGGCGGGGCGGGTGCGCGCACGCCCCCGCGCGCGCTCCCCCAGCCAGGCGGGGGCCCAACCCTAGCAGCAGCAGCGCCGGCACAGCGGAGCAGCAGCAGCGAAGAGGACCGAGGGGGCGGGCAGGAAGAAGGGCAGGGGAAAGAGGGGGAGGCAGGGGCGGGAGAAAACCGAGGACCCAACAAAGCCCACCCCGCAGGGGAGAAGCAGCGGCAGCAGCAGGAAGGAGGAGGAAGACAGCAAGCGACAGGAAAGCCAGAGGGAACAAGAGGAGCACAATCACAAACGCGCGAGAGATGGAAGGGGGCGGTCACACTCAGACGACATCACTTCACGTGGCAGCCCGCACCATGCGCCGTGCCCTGAATTGGCGTGCGACGCCAGTATACCGACGAGCTAGAAGACGCAATCGAGTAACGAAGACCTGGGACGTGGGGACCTGAGTCTGGCGCCGATGGTGAGCATGGGCCTTCAGGAAGGCATCGAGGAAGGCGGCGCAGGCAACGTCGCGGTCGAGCCCCCAAGACGGCCCCATCAGACAGAGACATGTAAGCCAGGTATCTCGGTGCTGCCACATCTCCCTCCACGGCGTGGGTAAGGCTTCCAACCCTGGGAGACGGTGCAGTGCAAGGTCACGGAAACGATCGCAGCTTTTGTAATGGAGTAGGTCATCAGGGGCCGCACATCCAAAGCAGCACCCACGGTCATTCGCATGAAACCGTGCCGAAGTACACGCGCCCCTGGACAGTACGCGGAGAACAGTGGTAGCGAGATGAGTGCACGTGGCGCGCTCCACGGCACGCAATCTAGTCCGCAGACGGAACATATCCTCGAGGGAGGTAGCAACTAACCACCGCGATATCCGTACACCCAGACACAATAAGGGAGTGGCAGCCAGACGAACCGAACGTAAATGACGATGGACCTTGGCCTGGATAGAACGGGCTGTCCGATCAATGGGGGAGTTCACAAGGTCCGCCGCATCCTCATTCGTCGTGCGTATCATCGAATGGCACCACCACCCAGAAAACATACGAGCAGGGATCAGTTCATCATCGGTCAGTCCACTCGCTAAGCCCTCAAACTCATATAGAGCATAGTCTAACGCCGTGCACCTCATCACCACCCGAAACTTCGTAGCTTTATCATACAGCCCCAGGTCCACGAACTCCAGGGAGATCCCCAAATCACGTAGCTGAGTGAGCATACTGTAATTCAACGCATGCCGAGGCCCCGCGGTAAGGATCTGCAGAGCTTCCCTATACTGACGCCGAACCGAAGGGGTGACCCTCACCAGCTGAATCCGATACTGCAAGACGGAGAGGCAATTAGAGTGGAACAGACGGATAGTGGTCGCCAAGCCCAGCGAGAGAGAGCGAAGAAGACGAACTCGCTGACAGAACTTATTCATCGTTTCCACCCAGGCCACCTCATGGGCCGACGGGCCCACCCAGAATCCGAGGTACAAAACTCGGGTGGCGAATCGGACAGCGGC